TGTTCTCCAAACTCCAAAGAACTTGAGACAAGCTCATTCCATTTCACATACCACCTCAAGTAATTTTAAAAATTCTAAACATAAAAGATATATAGTTTGAATCCTATATATAAAATTTGAAGCATATAAAAATTGCTTACAGAGAAATTCCAATTCATAAAGTTTTCACGGAATGGGTAACACTTACTAGAAGTAGTAAATTTTGAAAGCAAGACAGTATAAAATTCTAGTACTTCTGTCTAACAAACCATGTCTAGATATCAAAGACACATTTCCTGCAAAATATGTCTCATAATCCTTTTGTATTCTGAATTTTCTGAAAACGAAATAGGACTTGATTTCACTTGGCACTGGCCAAGCATATGTTATTACAAGGAATCAGCTTGCTAACCAACTATCTTCTCCAAACAATTTTGACACAATTATTCAAAAAGGTTTTAAAGGTACCAAGTAACCAAGAACTCATTTTATGATAAAAGTAATTATGACAACAACTAAAATAAAAGTAAAAAATCAGCAATAATTGCATATTATCTAGGAATTACTGAGACATTTCATCCAAATGATATCAATAAAAACCCAAACTATATCATGTATATGTGTCCGCTCATTCTTAATTTACTGTCAATCAAAACCACAACATTTTAATTGTTGATTCAACCACAAGGCTCAACTACATCGATTCCAGTACAAAATCACGGAACACATCACAAATCAAACTTGCCATATGAACAAAACTTCGATCAAGCCATACGAACAGAACTTCGATCAATATATATATATATATATAGACGAACACACACACACACACAAACTAAATAATCGAAGAACCCATGAAAAATACCTGATGTTAGGGTTGGAGTTTGTGATCTTCGTGTTGGGGTTGCAGAACCTCTCTTCTTGTTTAGGGTTTTGGTTCAATTTGGGGGTTTTTTTGAATGAATGTGGGGCTGGTTTGGGGTACTGGAAACGACAACACTTTGCTCTATAATTTTCCCAAAAAAAAAAAATGTCGTAAAACGGCGTCGTTCCATTAAACCGCATAACATGCGGTAAGTCCCTTACCGCAAACGAGCTGCACCCCGAGTAGAAGGGATTTTGAATAAGTAAAAGCCAAATAACTTTTACTTTCAAGCTTATTTAAGTGGTAAAATAGTTTTTACTTTTTAAAAAGTATTTTTAATAAGTTAACTAAAACACTAAATGTTTTATGAAAGCATTTATGATAAATCAAAAGTCTAAAAAACATAGTTTTAAAGTCAATCCAAATTCACTTATAGTCTTTTGTCTTTCTACTCGATATTTTAGGAAAAAAAAAATTTCTTGATCTCACCTACTCTATCAAGTGTGGTATTTCTACCCAACTTTCTACCAGATTAATCAAGTAGAAAATCGGATATACACTTTTGTAGCTATTAATTTTTGAATCATTTTAACAATTCAATTAAATAACATTCATCAATTTAACAGCACAATAAATCAATAACACTAAAACCTAAAACAACTACAATAACAATTACAATAAAACACAAGAAAGCATGAACATCAATCTATCATAATTGTTACACAAATACAATAACAATTATTTTAAATTTAAACCATATGAAACACATTAAAATTATAACTAGTCTAATAGATCACCAGTTTACTACAAATCATAACAAAAAAAATTACACACACAGGTATGTAATTTAATTATTTTCTTCGAGCTGCCCTTCACAAATGCATGAGAATCCACAATGGAACAAATTCAGAACAAACGAAATGGAACAAATTCAAAACAAACAAAATGGAACAAATTCAAAATCTCTTAAACAAAAGTTGTTAAACAAACAAAAGTTTTGTTGAAAAATTCTTATACAAAAGTTTTTTCTTTGAATTCAAGGACACAACTCAAGCTCTAATCAAATCTGTACAAGCCCCAATCGTCACCCAGCTCCTTTGATTGTGAAAATGTTGTTACACAAGACCTTCATAATCAAGAAGAAGTTGGCGAAGAAGCAAAGGCAGAACAAGGCCATTCCTCACTGGATTCGCATGAGGACCAACAACACCATCCAAGTTCATTAAGCAATTTGGGATTTTTCATGTTTGATGTTAACTGGATAAATTTTCAAAGCTTAAAAAAAAACAGAGACGACCTGAACGATGCTTGAAAGCTATAGTTTTGAGGTTCATTAACTTTATGCTTAAAAAAAATTAGATCTATAGATGAAGGCCATCAGATCAAGCCCAAACAGATACAGAGAGAGACATAGACAGAAACAAAGAGAGGGGGAACACCTGGGATGGGAGGTCGGGATTGAACAATAAAGGCAAAGGCTTGAGTGATGAAGGCAAAGGCTTGAGGCGAAAGGAGAGGAGTGGAGTGAGGTGCTCGAATAGTCAGTAGACGATAAGGCTAGTTGGTTAGAAAGTAAGATTTTTTTAGTTTATATATATATTAATTAATTAATTAATGCGGGTAGGGTAGGGTAAGAATGCGAAAATTGATGGGTATTCCGCATTCCTACCCGATTTAATAGGAAGATCAAAAACTCTTCCATATTCTTACGTTACCCTACCCGATTTAATTATGGATATCGATTAAATTTCAAAGTCATCCTTACATCCAATTTGATACAATGGAGTTGAAGAATGAGTATTTTAAGTATAATTATAAGATTATTTATGGCTTGAAGTTCACTGTGGCTTTCTAGGTATCTCAGAATAGAGCTTGTCACCTTTTTGCCATCAAGAGAGTGTGAAAGTGCAGAGAGAAATCAATTGATCAACTTCAATTTTTATTGGAGGAGCCCCTTGACAAGAAAGATTCAAAAGTTGTGAGATTTTGCTTTGTCATATTATTTTAATTTTATTTATTAATGAATTCATTTAAAGTTTCATTCAATTATCTGTTCCGACAATCTGAATTTAAATAGGGGTTCAGTTCACAAGTTTCACCAAACGATTTCACTCAAATAGGTGCATGACTCTATCAAAGGATGGAACTGAGCTCCAATTAACTCGTCTTCAAAACATTTATATTTCCTCATTAGCTGAAACTATGAACTAAAATAAAATTTTAATCATTGATTATGCACTCTCCTATAGAACCTGCTTATACGGAAGAATAGACAAGGGATCAACATAAACTTAAAAATAGGTTAAAGGAAAACTCACACACATACAACAAGAAATCTGGACAATAACTAAATACAAACATAGTATAATATCCCTTATCATGAAAAAATTCCAGAAGCCCATGATTATTAACAAAAAAATCTTTCTTTTCCAAAATGAAATGTATAGGAAGCGAATAGGTTTCCCATTCAAATATGTTCTTAAGCAGAAACACACCAAAGGTGGGGCAATCGGTAGAAGGGCCATGTTGTTGATTTCTCCTTTTCCATTCTTTTCTATCTCCACACATACACATTACATGCCGAACCCCACAGAGCCTCTTTGGATGTTCAATCACAACATAGTTAGTCTGGTACTTTAGAGAAACTCGATGTGCTTCAAGATCCTCACAATCAGCTACAACACGTGAGAAAAAACACAAAAAATGCTAACAAGAGGATGATTGTCAACAGCAACCGTATTCTGGAATCGAACAACAGAGCCCAAATCAAGTCAAAAACATATTCAACGACAAAGGACACTTCAAATACCTAAAGCACAAGCCCACAGTTCAGTTACATTAATCAAGAAGCACCTCCAACTCAAAGAGGAAGTAAAAACAGGTACATGAAAATAAGTGACTGCTGCAATGTAAAGTGAAAAGCAAACTAGTTCCCACCAACCCAAAAACCCCCGTGTTCTCATTTGTCAAGTTGCTCAGTCAAGCTGTCCAAGTAGATGTGGAAAATTTCTCAAATCCCAAGAAACATTATTCGATTGTGTCGGTTCTGCAGGACTGGATGCAACATGTATAGCCTCCGATACATTATGTATTGGCTCATTATCCTACTATCAAAGAATGATCAAACCTTCATTATACCCCTTAATCGAGTTTTATCAAAAAGTTCAAAGCCTCAAGATATAGCTACTCTCCTCCTTTTCTATAGAAGGACTCAGGATACAACTCTATTACACCCTCGGATTCAAGAGGACTGAGCCATAAATCAAATTAATCAATAAATATTTTGAATATCATAGACAGAGATATTCAATACATCTATTGCACTTGTAGTTACCTTTCCGAAACAAGCTTAGTCATTCTAAGCGGTGTATACATGGTTTTTCTAATAATTCAAAGAAGAGGCATAATAGACTGCAACACACATTGTGACGTTACATGCACACCCCTAATGCCGCTGTGATAGAATGAGCAAAGCTATTCCAGCATCTTGACAGAGTAACATTAACCAGTTCAAGACTCTCTGATGTCAAATATTGTACATTCCTCAGATAAGAGCGCCCACTTTGCGACTAAATGTTGGTAGAGAAGAAAGAGGGGGGAGGATTTAGTAAGGAAACCAGAAGATCGATTCCTGGAAAAACAAAAGAAAAGAACAGTAAAAAGATAGGGGTGTGAAACTGAAATTTCTAACGATACCATGCAGAGCGTAAATGGACAAACATGCAAGGATATACCCTGTCATGTCCTTTTTGTAGTTCACCCTTCAGCTTCTTTGGATGTCCATTAGTGTATAAAAAATTGAGTTCTATAACGAACAGAAACACAATTAACCAAAATATGTGGCCACAGGAATGCAAAACATAAAGGAAAAAGTGCAGCATGAGTCAAAATGGTAGAAAAATGCAGGTTTTGAATAGATAATGACCAACCTGTGACCAATGACACCAGCAGGTTTCAGTGTGAAAGCCCCCTGTCGACTACACAATGATAAACAGCAAAATCAAGTAAAAGTACCACAATATGTTGAAATACAAAGGAATCCAGGGGTGTTGGAAGCAAGTCAACATCATGAGTGAGCCAAAACATGGGGTACAGAAGAGAAAATAATTGCCAAAAGTTATGCAATATTCATGAAATGATAGTCAGGCATTCTGCCTCATCGCATGGGGTCAGTCTGAATGTCATAGAAATTGAGATGCTTACAGTTAGAACCTTCGAGGCCAGCACAAGTCGTAGATTCTGACTCATCGCATTGAGGAAGTGCAGCAAAAATAATATCCCGAAGGGCAGGCTCATTAAAGCAACTTGTTCCTGAATCTTCAAATTGCCTACATCTAGCAAGAGTCCTCGTCACAAAAGCAAAGGCAACTTGTTTTGACACCTTAGCAACCCCCCTTTTAGCAGCACTACTTCCTCTAGTAGCCTGTGAAAATAACCCGATATATATATTTGAGGATTTAACACGAAAGTAATAGTTTCCAGAAGCATAGCTAAGTTGATGATATTCAACCAATAAAAATTCAAACTATTGGAGAAAGGATGTAAAAATATGTGAACTTTTGCAATCTTTACAAATAAAACGGTTACTGTAATTAGTAGAAGTACATTCCTGTCCAGTTAATTTTACATCATCAGACAAAAATTCTGATTTGATCTATAAAACTTCCCCAACCATCAAAATAAGTTGAAAAAGGTGTCAAAGTGCATCATTATGGAGGGCATACGGTTATACATTACTCCATCAAGCTTGGAAGGAATTGAAAATTAAGAAAGAATGACAAGAAGCAAAATACAGAATCAAAAGGCCAAAATATTTAGTTTTCACCAAGATATATATTCATGCAAGGATTAAGGCAAAAAAACGCCAAGGAAAAGATGAGCAACTCCAACAAACTTGAATTGGTATATGACCTCTTGTATATTCTTCCAACAAGGGTGACATGGAAATGGAACTCAGATAGAGAGCAGCAGACCGGCAAAATGCATGCAGAGGAGTACTATTCCAGTTAAATGGCAGATAAATCTTTCTATGGATATTTTTGCATCGTTATGGAGGGCATAGAGTAATACATTATTCCATCTTCGCCATTTTGGAAGAAATTGGAAAATAAGAAAGGATGACAAATAGGTAAAGGAAGATTTAGAAATCCAAATATTAATTTTCATTGAGAGATATTTGCAAGCAAATATTTTTAAGCTAAAGATTAAAATTATAAATAGTTAATACTGTGATAGAGAATAGACTGAAAACTTTTTTTCGCACATTTTTCTATTCGTGAGAATTTTCTTGGAGTGCCTATCAAGTTTTGATTAAAAAGGACTTGAACTACATAAGGTGGTAGGTATGTGTTTTAATTCTCCTATTAATTAGTTCTATCACATTGTAGTCTTTTACTTTTCAACTCAGGTGTAAGTCTTTAGCTTAAGGGTTCAACTTCGGTATTGAATATACAAGTTTATCACCTATTTAGTGCTTTTTTTTTTTTTTGTTTGGTTGACCTACACCTATTTTATTCGAAAAACAACTTTGTATCACACCCAACATATATACACGGAAGAAGGCTTCTTGTAGTTGTTTATTGATCAAGTTTTATTTTTTTTTTCTATCATATATTATTGGAGAGAAATTACATTTTGAACCTTTATAGTTGAACCTTTTATCTGTTAATAAATTATATGTAGACCCCCTAAAGTTTGCAAGTATGTAATACTTAGATCTCTTAAGTTTAAAATATTATATTTAATCCAAAAATACTCCAATAAAATATAGAATATCAAATACTTTAAATTTTATAACTAAAATTTATGTTCTATTGTATCATTTATTAAAATAAAATTAAAAATAAAAATTTAAGTTTTTTCTTAAAAAATTGTAATTAGTATACAATTATACTATCTATTGGAATAAAACTAAAAAATCAAACCAGGGATCTAACTCATTCATAATAGAACATGAACTTTACATCCAAAATTCAGGTTTTGTTATGTCATTTATTGAAAAAAAATCAAAAATAAAAGTCTAATTTTTTTTTTAAAATCATAGTTAGTATATAATTATACTATCTATAAGAATAAAACAAAAAAATAATACATTAAGTCAAATTGTAATTGACATAATATATTTTAACTTTAATTAGGGTAGTTTGGTATTTTAATTTGGCCGTTTAAACAACCAAATTAAATTGTATACTAATTACGATTTTTTAAGAAAAAATTAAATTTTTAATTTTAATTTTATTTCAATAAATAATATAATAGAACATGAATTTTAGCTGTAAAATTTAAAATATTTGATATTTTACCTTTGATTTGAGTATTTTTTGTCTAAATATAATATTTTAAATTTAAGGAGTCTAAGTATTATATATTTATAAACTTTAAGAGGGTCTAAGTGTAATTTATTAACTGATATATTTATAGCATGGGTCTAAATATTATGTACATATAAACTTCAAGAGGTCTATGTGTAATATTTTAAATGTCAATAAATCTAAGCGATTAAATAACAAACATCAGAAAATCTAAGTGTAATTCTCCTTTTTTTTTTTTTTTTTTTTGTGCATCTATTGTTGGAGAGAGAAGAACCTTTTGACTTTTTGTTGAAACTTTTACAGAAATGGTTAGGTTGATCAAGCCCACTCTGCATCAACAAATGAATCTTCGCATTGTACTCTAAAATCTAAAATTTACCTAATCCCAACACTGGACTCCATTCCTCTTTCCCTGTCGATAAAAACCCTTCTAATTCCCACCAGTCACAAACTACATATTATTCCCCCATCACAACCCCCATCAATGAAACTCCTCCGTCCCTCTTTATGCAAATTAAATAGGTAAAGCAAATAATAGGGTTAATCTCATTTTACACCCCGAAAGATCGTTCGAATCTCAATTTGTACCCTCAAAGAGCAAAAATCTCAATTTGTACCCTCAAAGATAGATATTTGTATCAATATGCACCCCCAAATATCAAAAATCTCAATTTGTACCCTCAAAAATAGAAATTTATATCAATGTGCACCCCAAAGATAAAAAATTTCAATTTGCACTCTCAAATATAGAAATTTGTATCATTATGCACTTAAAACTAAATTGATAAATTATACCTAAATCTCCTCATGTTTGTCACTTAATCATTTGGATCTCTTTACTATTAGAATATTACTCCTACATCTCATAACATTTATGCACGTATAACATGTAACTCATTTTCATTGATATCTGTTAATATAACCGTTAAAAAATATAATTTTATCCTAATAAAAAATTATAATTTCATATTACCCTTATTTTATGGGTCCAATATACTCTAAAATTCAAAATCAAGCTTACCATTTAAATGTCTAATAAAATGTAGATATTTATATAATATTTTTCATATTTTTCTTTATATAAATATCTACATTCTATTAGACATTCAAATGGTAAGCTTGATTTTGAACTTTAGAGTATATCGAATCTACAAAATAAAGAGTAATATGAAATTATAATTTTTTATTAGGATAAAATCATATTTTTTAACGATTATATTAATAGATATCAATGAAAAGTGGTTATGTTTACATATGTATAAACGTTATGAGATGTAGGGGTAATATTCTAAATGTGAAGGGGTTCAAATAATTAAGTGACAAACACGAGGGGGATCTAGGTATAATTTATCAATTTAATTTTAGGTGCACATTGATACAGATTTATATCTTTGAGGGTACAAATTGAGATTTTTGATCTTTGCGGATGTACATTGATACAAATTTCTATCTTTGATGGTGCAAATTGAGATTTTTGATCTTTGAGGGTGCAAATTGAGATTCGAACGATCTTTCAGGGTACAAAATGAGATTAACCCCAAATAATATGATCACAGGACAAACAAAAAAATTTATGCGATTCCCCCAAATTTGAGGTAGATCAACCTTTCACTATTCACAATAATAGACTTACAATAATATTAAATTCTAGAATTACAATAGTATTCGTCACCCTAAGTTAGATATCAACAAAAGTAATAACAATAGATCTTGCTGAATAACTCTTGCAAAAAAAAAAAACAAACTACAACATTAAATAAATGGGTCCATGACCCATTTAAGAAAGAGTATTATACATTAAAAAAATCAGTTTAATCAAAAAAAGAGTGTTTAAAACTAAATATTGTAATCATAAAAAAATATGTTTAACCGGATTCGCTAATCTATACTATATATTAAAAGAATGGGAAAATTTTAATTACACCCCCTCTAATTTAGCATATCTTCAAGGACACCCTTTCTAATTTAATTTAAACATCACTAACACCCCCTACCATTAAACTATTATTTATAACAAAATAAATTCATCTAAAATACCAAAAATATCCCTACATAACCTCAAGTAATTTTTTTACATAAAATTTTATTAAAATTCGAGCTGTTAAAATTTTAAAAAAAAAAATCATAAATAACATTTTTAATAAATAATTTGTTAGTAAATACTAATTTTTTATTTACTAATTAGTAAATTTTAAAAAATAAATCGAGCCTATTAAATTTTTTTTTTTCACATATTAAAATTTGAGCCGATTTTAACTCTATCCGAGTTGTTAGAGCTGATTAAAATTTTCTTTCGAGTCAATTATAATTTATATTTTTTTTCTTATTAAAATTTGTATCAATTAAAATTAGATTTATTAAATTTTAAGTCAATTAAAATTCATATATTTTCATATATTAAAATTTAGGTTAATTAAAATTCAATGCGAATTAATTAAAATTTGATTTTAGTCGATTAAAAATAATTTTTAATTGGCTCAAACAAAATTTTAATTAGCTCAAATTCTAATACGTAAAAAAAATTAGAAAACAGAGATGTCTCATTGAAAATGTACTTATCTAGAGGGGTCTCATTGAAGATATGTTTATCTAGAGGGGGTGTGGATGAAGTTTGTCCTCAAATATATAAGGGCAATTTAGTAAAATTACATTCTACTTAATATTTTTAATCTGACAAGGGGTGTCATTGAAGATTCAGAAAGTAGAGGGGATGTCCTTGAAGATATGATAAGTTACAGGGAGTGTGGTTGAAATTTTTCCTAAAAAAATTAATTTAGAAAGTCTTCTCACAATTGGGGGGTCGTGTGTTTTGAGTATAAGATTTAGGTGCTATAAAATTTTATATTTATTCCACTCCGATTCAATGGTATATTATACTCAGTTTTAAATTTTAATCTCATTTTTCCCCTTATTTGTTAGTCACAAAAATTATCTGTGTAATACCTACTTAAAAAAATCAACAATAGCGGCTAACCAATGTAAAAAGACAATTTTATCCTTAAAAAGTCAAAAATTGCAACTAAGTTTTTATATGGGCATTGTACCTGAGGGCATTTCGGTCTTTTTAGTTTATTATACCTCCAATCATTTATACCGAAAATATTATACCACCGGGTAGGTGGTATTGAATAGCACCATGTAGAAGACATTAGTGTTATTGTTCACACCAGATCGGTACTATAACCTGAAAATTAATACCTAATAAAAAATGTCAAACAAACAATGTTTAAAATAAACCCCACATACTATTTTCTTTATACTACCCCTTATACCACCCTTATACCTCAAACAAACAGCCCATTGGTCTATTCGCCAACTTTCTTTTGCCTTTTTGTTATGCGCGTGAGTGCTTCTTCTATTGGACAGAGAAGGAACCCTTTGAACATTTAGGAGCCGTTTATTTTGAGTATTAAAGTGGTATAAGGAGGTGGTATTAAAAAAATAGTACGTGAGATAAATCTTATACGTTATTTGTTTGGCATTTTATAGTCAGTACTATATTCCGGGTCGTAATACCGACCCGCTATGAGCAATAGTCATAATGTCTTGTACAAGATTTTAATGAATACCACCTAGAAGGTGGTATTATATTTTTGGTATAGGTATTATAAACTAAAAAAAACGAAATGCCCTCCGGTATAATTCCCTTATAAAAGTCTAGTCGCAATTTTTGACTTTTTAAAGGTTAAAATTGTCTTTTATATTGGTTAGTCGCAATTGTTAACTTTTTTAAGTAGGTATTACACAGATAATATTTGTGATAAACAAACAAGAAGAATGATGAGATTATAGTTTAACACTAGGTATAATATACTATTAAATTGAAGTAAAATAGATATAAAATTTTATACAACCTAAATTTTATACTCGAAATAAACATGTCGATATAGTTGAACCTCTTACAAGAAAGGTTAGTTTCATTGCACCTCGGTTGTTATAGTTTAATGACTCACCCACCTTCTATCACGACATCTATAATATAATAGGGTAGTTTTTTAGCAGATTTCCCAATATTTTGTCAAATGACACAATGACCCCCTGAATTTTAGAAATCATAGCACGCATTTACATTAGATCACCTAGTCTATCAATTAAGAAAACAAAAATTAGGTGAATTACACTTTAGACCCTTAAAAATTCTAAATTTTTTTAGTTTATACTCTTAAAATTTAATTTTTTTCATATGATATCATAAAAAAATTATAATGCGACTTTCACACTAATTTCGTAAGTA